TTGGCCAGAGAACAGTCACATGTCCAATTTAGTTTGCGCTTTTCGGATGAAATTTGGACGGATCAGAATTTACGTTAAACGACCATTTAGATCTGTTTGCATTTAGACGCATTCAAATTGAGACATTCAGATGCATTTTAATGAAATTCGTACGAACATGATTCAGAACAAAACAAAATTTACATGTCTAGTCCCCACAAGTGCGGTGATGGACACTCTGGGAGTCTCCCATCTTGTACACCTTTCTCCTGCGTTACCCCATGCTATTGTAGATGAATGATATAATGTGATCAGAAATGATCGAAGGGGGAACATGTGTAGGGAGAATTGATGATCCCTGCTGGGTCACATTGTCAGACGTAATTTTGTCAATCAGTTTGATATTCTGCTTAATGAAACATATTATGAAAACTTTTACGACAAGAAATCCCATTAATTTCTATGGCCCCTGTTCACACCTGAGATCTTCAAACATCTAATGTATGCTTACATAAACATGTTTGTCACTGGTTCATGAGACATGATGTTACAAGTCATTCTTCTTGGCAAGGTGTTAGTCATTGGAGAGACAAATCACCAGTTCTGGGATCTTAGCATATCTAAACTCAGACACTTGTAGACATGATAAATAGTCTTAAAGCGGACCTTTATACTCAAAATCAAATTCTACCAATACATCCCCCTATGTATGATAATTAATAATAACACAGACATGTCAGGTGTAAAATGCTGTGATTATGAAATACTTACACTTGCAGAGCATTCACTTCCTGCTTTGAAAAGGAAAAATTACTTCAGTTTGCCAACACAATGCACACTGGGATTACCTTGTCATCAGCAGAGCATTGCTGGGAAATCTCATCTGTAATCTCACGAGATCTCAGGGAAAAGGCATTTTCCTCTCCTGAGATGATGTGCATGGTCACCTGTCTAGTCACAGGTGCCAGAAATCCAGGAAGTAAAAGGAGATCTAGTAACCTGCTCTTAGTTAACATATGGAAAAATCAAAGAAGGAGCGCTACAACCCAGAAATGTGTGGTACTTGTTAGGTCAATTCATGAATGGATAGCAGTATAATGCATGAAAATTGTGTATGCAAATTTTAGGAATCAGTGACTCACCGTTAGATGGTTCCCTGTCAGTGAAGAATGGATGGTGTTGGCAGCTGGAGGTCGCGAAAGGCTCCTGTAGCTGGACCTCTTGAGTATTGCCGTTTTCTGAAGGTGGCGTCCTACGGCCCTGTGCACGAACAGGCTGTACATTAAAGATATTAGTGCCGTCAGGCGCCGTGGGTACTCAGCTGGCCAGGCATAACGGGGATACCGCTCGACATAGTTAACATAGCCACTGTCAGAAGACTGGGGAAGAAAAGAGAAATAAGGAATGCAAAGAATACAAATCCGGCAGTTATCTAGAAGTATGTGTTTGTAGATTGTCATCACTAAACATTTCTAAAGGCGTCTGTTGTTATTTTAAAGATATGGGTAAAGGTCCACTATAAGTAATGCTGTTTCAGCATTTGATGCATTTTTTGGATTTTTTTAAAACTAACCAATGATATGTAATGATAATATTTATCTTGGTGTGTAAACTTTTATAAGTTGTAGGAGCTAAGGTGGGGTCAAAATGGACCCTGCAAGATTCCACAGAGGTCGCTTCCCCATACGTGTGTCAAAATAAACCTCTTATCTGATTTGGGGCTACTCACAGATGTTTGCTGCTTCCTTTCTCAAATTCTCATATTCAGTAGCACGTGATGAGGAAATGATCCAACAAAAACCATAACTAGTCAAATTTAATGATAAATTTTGACTTGTACATGTGGTCATCCGCTGACTTGTATATAGGATCGCCGTTTATAATCACTACATTTCCAGAAAGCACTCCAACACATTACAGTTGTATTATATATGTACAGTATATTGCCAAAAGTATTGGGACGCCTGCCTTTACACACACATGAACTTTGATGGCATCCCAGTCTTAGTCCATAGGGTTCAATATTGAGTTGGCTCGCCCTTTGCAGCCATAACATCTTCAACTTTTCTGGGAATGCGTCCACAAGGTTTAGGAGTGTGTCTATGGGAATGTTTAACCATTTGTGAGGTCAGGCACTGATGTTGGACGAGAAGGCCGGGCTCGCAGTCTCCGCTCTAATAAAGAGGTTTGGATACACGTCTTCTGCAGAGGATGTGAAAGTTTACACCACTGCATCCAACACTTTGTATTGCACTTGGTGATGTAAGGCTTGGATGGAACTGCTCTGCCATGGAAACCCATTCCATGAAGCTCTCTACGCACTGTTGTTGTGCCAATCTGAAGGCCACACAAAGTTTGGAGGTCTGTAGCTATTGACTCTGCAGACAGTTGGCGACTTCTGCGCACTAGAAGCAAAATTGGTTTGAGGTGCACAGATCACCAAATCTCTGGAAGCCAACCCCTAGTTGAATTTGGTAATATTACAGCAAGGAGGGAAAAATAAGGGTTTATGTTGACTAGCAGAATGACAAATGCAATAAACATCACATCAAAATTGATTATATATAAAATTAGAAAATGTATTAATTCATCAAAACAAATATGTTAAAAAAGAACATTTGCACAATGTAGGACACACCCACCAACCTCGGTTGTCCCACCAAAGGGTTCATTTTTCAATTTATCTATACTAGAGATTCATTAGTCCAATTATTACAAATGTTATTTATCCTTCTCTTTCACACTTGAACCCTATCTGTGGGACTCCAAGGGGGTCATTAGGAGGTTCCCCTTATTGGGGCAAATTCCCTTTATTCTAATTACATTGTGCAAATGTTCTTTTTTAACATACAGGTGAAACTCGAATAATTAGAATATCGTGCAAAGTTTATTTCACTAATGCAACTTAAAAGGTGAAATTAATATATGAGATAGACTCATTACATGTAAAGCAAGATAATTCAAACCGTGATTTGTCATAATTGTGATGATTATGGCTTACAGCTCATGAAAACCCCAAGAACCCCAAATCCACAACCTCAAAAAAGTAGATTATTACATGCAATCAATAAAACAAGGATTGTACATAGAACAATATCGGACCTCTGAAAAGTACAAGCATGCATATGTACTCAGTACTTGGTTTGGGCCCCTTTTGCAGAACTTACTGCAATTACTTTTGCACGATATTCTAATTATTCGAGTTTCACCTGTATTTGTTTTGATGAATTAATACATTTTCTAATTTTATATATAATCAATTTTGATGTGATGTTTATTGGATTTGTCATTCTACTAGCCAACATAAACCTTTATTTTTCCCTCCTTGCTGTAATATTACTGACTTCTGCGCACTGTGCGCTTCAGCATGCGCTGACCCCGCTCTGTCATTTTACGTGGCCTACCACTTCGTGGCTGAGTTGCTGTTGTTCCCAGTTGCTTCCACTTTGTTATAATACCACTAACAGGTGACCGTGGAATATTTAGTAGCAAGGAAATTTCCCAGATGGACTTATTGCACAGGTGGTAACCTATCACGGTACCACGCTTGAATTCACTGAACTCCTGAGAGCGACCCGTTCTTTCACAAATATTTTTAGAAGCGTCTGCATGCCTAGGTGTTTGATTTTATACACCTGAACCATGGAGGTGATTGGAACACCTGAATCCAATGATTTGGAGGGGTGACTCTATACTTGTGGCAATATAGTATATATATCAATCATCAAATTAGCATTGTGGTGCTTAATCACTACAATATGTGAAAGTTGCTCCTCCTATTTGGTTAGATATAAGAGCACTGTGCAAGTGTACAGTATCAGTTCTGCACATACAGAAGAGGGACATGGAGACGTTTGGTAAGCGTTGTGTGCTGTTTATTTATTGTTGCAATATTTTTATTAATAGTGATTAAGAAAATTGACAGTTTCAGTGTTGCTAAAATGTCAGCAAAAGTTTTGACATTTGACCCATATTCACTATTTTGGTGGATTTTTGTTGGGGAAGGCGATAATAGTGTTCGCTTTTTATGGGTGCAATGGGCTTTAGGTGGTGCCTGAGTATTGTATTTTTTGTGTTTTTATCTTTTATTGTGTATTTTGCTGCCATTTGATAGTTTTCTAAAGAAACAATGGCTAAAAAAGTAATAACATATTTAAAGTTATAATGGTACTACTCAAAAAAAATGTTTCAGGGTGCACATTGAGGTTGCATTCAAAGTACACCTTAATTCACACCTATGCCTCTTTCCCCCCCATGCATTTTCCATTGAAACCATAAAAATGCATCTCAAAGCATGCGTTTGCAGTGTCACAGATTTTAAACACATGTTCAGATGCACTTTGTATTGCCTGCTGCGAACACACATTAAAATGCGCATCAATACACATTGATTAGCTTTGTTGGTATACATTAACACCAACATAATGATCACATGGCTTTGCTGATAAACAAAAGCCATGGTACACAGCAAGGGGTCTGATGTGATTTTGTCATGTTTGTCAAACAGCAAATAGATTTCCAAAAAAGGTTAAAAAAAATTAAATAAAAATAAATGAATAATTAAATATACAGTATATATATATATATAGAT